CTCTTCTGCTGGTTAGTGTTTCATTTACTCTTTATTTTAGTTTTTGGTGCAGTAGAGGTATCGTCACTCGGTAGTCTGTAAATATGATAGTTTTTCTTAGCGATATAATAACCTTAGTATCTTGATGGTCTTTCACTGGTATCATAAATTAAAACTGTGATGGATAGTTTTGATTTATTTAACATCCGTTTCTATCGAACTAGCTCCATTTTAGACAGAGTTGAAAGACAAATTTTGTCTGCCTTTGTTTTCAAGCTTAACTTGAAACTATCAAATTATACATTTTTTCGTTGAATATATCTCCTGTTACTTTTTCTCAAGAAGTTCCTTTTCATACGCTAGTTTATGCGTATCTTTGAGGTTTGTTACTCTGTCACAAATTCTTGCAACAACACCTTAACTTACATTATAATGATGTGTCATCATTTGTAGCAGTTAGCTGTGATGAGGATAACAAAGTAGAGGAGCTAGATGGCGAAGAAGAGATTCCCCCGGAATTTGGTGCATGGAGTATGATGAGACTTCATCCACTACTCATGAAGTCAATATACCATCTCGGATTCAAGGAGCCAACAGAAATCCAGAAGGCTTGTTTTTCCGTTGCAGCATTTCAAGGAAAGGTTAGATGACTCGTGTTATATTCTGTCAATACTTGTAGAGCTACATTTTGTTGATGTATGGTTCATATTTGGATCACAGGATGTTATTGGTGCTGCGGAGACAGGGTCTGGAAAGACGCTTGCTTTTGGGTTGCCCATACTGCAACGCCTATTGGATGAGCGGGAAAAGGTTGGTAAATTGTATGCATTGAAGGGAGAAGAAGCACAGAAATATTCTGCTGATGGCTATTTACGAGCTCTTATAATCACTCCAACTAGGGAACTTGCTCTACAGGTATACTTTAGTATCATCACATTGCTATTTTTGTTTCCTGACATTATTTGTTCACTTGTGAATTCCAGCATAAGGAATTTTGAAAACACAAATCCAACTTTTCTCTTATTACAGGTGACAGATCATCTTAAGAATGCTGCCAAAGATCTTGGCATCAGGGTCGTTCCTATTGTTGGTGGGATGTCATCAGCGAAGCAGGAAAGACTTCTGAAAGGAAAACCAGAGATAGTTGTTGGAACTCCAGGAAGGTTATGGGAACTTATGTCGGCCGGAGAAAAGCATCTTCTAGAGGTATGTAATGTATAGCTGTGTCTTAAATCAAAAGAATCTTACTCCTGTATCAACCTATTCGGGTGTAGGTATTTGGTTTGTCCTTAATTGCAGCAATCAGTTTGTATCTATACTGTTTCCTTGAAAAAATATTTGTAAGCATGTCTGGTAATTAAGGCATGTGTAGATTGTTACAAGTATATAGCTAATCTCAGACACTGTCTAAATGGTTGTCTTTTTCTGATCCTCTTTGGCAGCTACATTCTCTGTCTTTCTTTGTGTTGGATGAGGCTGATCGCATGGTTGAAAGTGGGCATTTCCGGGAGCTGCAGTCTATAATTGACTTGCTTCCAGTGTCAGATAAACCAAGTGAAAGGAAGACGCAAACCGTGCAGAGTTCTGACACAGTTTCCGATGCTCCAAAGAAGAAAAGACAAACATTTGTTTTCTCAGCTACCATAGCACTGTCTTCAGACTTCCGTAAAAAGCTAAAGCGTAGCTCTTCAAAGTCGAAGCAGTCATCCTCTGGTGAAGTGAATTCTATTGAGGTTTTATCTGAACGAGCTGGAATGAGGGACAGCGTTGCCATCATTGATCTGACAACTGCAGCTATTTTGGCACCAAAGATTGAAGAATCTTTTATCAAGTAAGTACTATATTTAGCCTATGTCCCCTCTAAAGCTTTTAGTTTGACCGTTTAATAAGTTTGTTTTTATTGCTTGGAGAACACCATGCTTCTACTCATTATTTGCTTACAAAACATCCAGCAATCTTTGATGGTACTTAGTTTCTTTGTTTCTCTCGGTATTCTTAGTATTGATATCATATAACAACCAACAGGTGCGAAGAAGAGGACAAAGATGCGTACTTGTATTATATTCTGAGTGTCCATGGACAAGGGCGGACAATTGTTTTCTGTACATCAGTGGCAGCTTTGCGGNATATCTGTGCGCTTTTAAAAATTCTTGGAATCGATGTTTGCAAACTCTTCTCAGATATGAAGCAGCGAGCGCGGTTGAAGGTTCAATTTTCTATTGCTCTTTTGCCAAAAATACTCAAATATCATTTTGTTATTTTCTGAGTTCAAGGGTGCTTCAGAAACACAAATAATTGCTTGTTACAAAGCATTTTTGCTATTCCACCCTCTTTACTTGCACAGGCAATCGACCGCTTCCGTGCAAGCGAAAATGGAATACTCATAGCAACAGATGTTGCAGCAAGGGGAATTGATATTAAGAATGTCCGGACTATTATTCACTACCAACTTCCACATTCAGCAGAAGTAAGCTAAGATCCCTTCTAAGTTTTGTAATTTTTCTTCTCTAACATTTCTTCAAGCTCTTAGCCTTTTCATTCATATAGGTATATGTACATAGAAGTGGGAGGACCGCTAGAGCATTTGCAGATGGATGCAGCATAGCTTTGATTACGCCTAATGATACTTCAAAGTTTTACTCGTTATGCAAGTCATTCTCTAAGGTATCAAATTTAGATTCCTCAAAACATTAGTTTTTCATAAAGAAAACACTGAGGTGTATAATGCTAAAGTAGGTTTTTTACTTCCGTTTTGCCACTTTCATGCTGAAGGTTCCTTTGTTTTTGATTACAGGAAAGCGTAAAGATATTCCCTTTGGATAGCTCTTATATGCCTGCGGTGAAGAAGCGATTATCGCTAGCACGTCAAATAGACCAGATTGAGCGGAAAGGTTCACGGGTATATCTTCCATCAGTATGCTGAATGTACTTATATCCTATGGTTTTGTTGTGATAGCATCGGGGTGTGAAAATAGATGCAGAAAATCCAAGTTTCTATTGTGTTTAATTCATGAGCATCTGGAAATATTTAAACCCTGGCCTGTGTGAATTTTTTTATTGGTGGAGTTCATAGTAGCTTCACACCCACTGCCTTCATATGAATGCTTTGTTCATTAAATTGTTCGGTTGTGTTTGCTATGCAGGAGAAAGTAGACAGGACCTGGCTTGAAAAACATGCTGAATTGATGGAACTTGAATTGGATGACGACGAAAGTGAAGAGGAAAAAGTGGACAACGTTAGGCAGAGAAAAGCGACGTCGGCACAACTTAAAAAGTTGCAGGAGGTTGGTCACTACTACTCAAAAGAAACGTTCTCCTGAACAATTATTAGTTTCCCTTAGAATATCGTGAAACGAATGAAATCTTGATATCTGGTTTATTCTGCAGGAACTTAGCTCGCTCTTATCACGTCAGATGCAGCCCAGCAAATTTTCAGGCCGTTACTTTGCTGGGGTAAGTTCTATTCCTTTTATCTTTTTTTTTTTGGTCACAGCCTCCATACTCCGCGTCTAAAAAAAGAAAAAGCTTTAGCCATTAGCTCTCTTCAAAACAGAGGTCGCTACTTCAGGAGATTTATGATTTTTGTTTTGTTTTGTCCCAGCGTGGTATGTCGCATCAATTGCAGTCTCAGTTAGCAGAGATGACCAATCAAAAGCAACCACAAATTCAAACTGTTGGAAATAAAAAGAGAAGAAAGCTTCTTGTCGTTTCCCAGAACTGCATCGAACCCCTTCAAGCCCTTCGTGCTTCTGGTAACGAGGTACTTTTTTGAAAAACTTTTCCCCCATTCCCCCAATTCGTTTCAAATCTCCAACCTTTTCAGCTTGACCTTGATGTCCCATTGGTTTCAGATTCTCAATTATTGGATAATATTTCTTCAAGGATCGATCTTTTTCGTGAATTATATTCCCAGTTTGCGTTGAATATATCTCAATTAAATGATGTTGCTTTGCTCAGGTGATAAACATGAAAGGCCAGAGTGCAGAGAAGAGGCGCGATATAGCGAGCTTGAGGAAGAAAAGAAAGGAAGAGAAGATAGGTATATACAACTCTAGAAGTGTGATCTAACTAATTGCTTGCTTTCACTGATGCATTTGTGCTTAATTGTGTCCAGTAATGGACTAAGTTGAAACTTAGGCAGATGTTTTACGATCTTGCTGTGTTGTGCGTGTTCAGGTCGGCGTGATCAGCGAAGGGACCAGAAGAAACAGAGAAAGCTAATGGCTTCCTCTTAAGCATTGTGTCTTTTACCAAATTTTTTGTTGATCAAATCAGATTTTGACCTTACTACAAGCAAGTTATAAACTTTAAATTGTAAGCAATTGTACGTCGCTCCTTTTTTACTACTAAAGAATGGTCCAATCTCCGAAATGTTTGTTCAATTATTTTGTGTCATCATAATCTTATTTAGGGACTACTTGACATAAATTTTTCATTTCTACAGAATTACTCGTACAATGTTCATGTATTCGGAAGAAAAAAATATACAATATGCTTAAATCAAAAGCTTAGGAATTGGGCAAATCACACTAATAATAATCGTTTGTCTCAGATACTTGACAACATTCAATAGAGTAAAGCCATTTTTAAACTGTTTTTACGCCTACTGATTAAAATTTAAGAATCTCATTTACAAAAGCAGCAGCACAAGCTATCACAACTTTACAATCCAAAATAAATTAAAAAGCTGTTAACTAACTTAACTGACCAAGGGACTATCTTTTTCATCTTTGAATCTGATCTGAACTTGAGTTATTAGCTGCTGAGGAGCTCGACGGCCGTCCATTCTCAGTCCCTGCTTTATCTGTGGCAACCGCGACCCCCACGCCCCATCTTCTTGAAGATTCAGATGGCTCGATCACTTTCACTGAACCATCAGAGAGTCCAACGGCTACTTGATTCGGTTCTTGTGGATGAGTTGTGATCACTTGTGGAATGATCGGTGCACTATCACAGAAACAGTAAAACACAGTTGGTCGAATAAATAAATGGTCACATTATATATAATAATATGATGAAGTTTGTCAAAAATAGGTACCTGTTGGGTGTTGGTTGAGGCATGTAAGCTGATGGAGCAATGCGACATCTGAGTCTCAAGGATTCGGCATCGAAGACTGCAATGTTTCCATCAGCGAATGATGCGTAAACCAATTGGCTGTTGCATGAGTAAGATGCTGAGGTTATGGGTGAAGAGAGAGCTTCTTGTGGCACCCACTGCACATATACACCAAGCAATTAGGTCGAAAATTTTTTGTAAAAGAAAAAAAAAAGGGTCAAGAAGTAAAAGAGCGAATTTTGGTTACCTTATGGATGCATTCCATCTTTGAAGCATCGTAAATGGCGAGCTGCGTCTCATGTGAAACCAATAAATGGATTTGGTCGTTGTGGAATTGGACTCGAGTGTCGCCTACTGGTGCTTTTCCAGGCGGTAGCTGGATCGCTGAAGATTTCTTCTTCTCCCACGAATCAGCAGTCCAGAAGAAGAGCTGGAAGAAAGGGTTTCTAGAAGTTACAAGCCAAGATGGGAGCAAATGCTTTCAATATGGGAAACAAGAAACTTGCGTTACCTGAGCATCGGCACCAGAAGAGACAAGAATATTGAGTGCGGTAGAGAATGCCAGACCGGTTATGAGCTTCTGGTGACCTTTCAACTTTGTTTTCACCTATAGAATTAAACGAGATTACATTACAGATTCATTTAAGAGATGAGTAACTACACCAGAAGTTTAGTAAAATCAGTAACCAGTGAATCAAACAAATGTATTATTACCTCATCTACCCTGACATTGTAAATATGGATACTCGAGTCCTCCATCCCGATTGCAATAATGTTATTATCTTGGGGATGAAATGCCAAGAACGTTGAAGCTGGTGGTGGTGGCATGAAAGTTGTCATTACCTGCAATAAAAGTGAAAAATGCCTTTAGCTCGCATATATTTACAGACATGTTCTTGAGAGAAATGAAAACGGTTGGATTAAGCTGCTTACTTTGAAAGTCATCATATTGAATAACGAAACTTTTCCACCACAAGCTGACATCACGTATGAGTCATTCTTAGAAAGAGCTATACACGGAACAGCTCCGTCAGGATTGTCGGGGACATCATTTGCCATTAGGAGACCGCTGTTAGGCTGCCAATGCTGAGGAGTTACACTAGCGGTGGCCTTCAAATAAGGAGAGCACAATTTCAGCAACTTATACCAGAAAACTTAAAAAGAGTTGACTCAAGCACTAACATATATCATATCGTCAACCAACAGGAGAAGAAAAATTTGAAAGTTTTAGCGTATAACCTTCCCAGACGGATTTTGCTCATTGCGGCTCCACTTCCAAAGTCTCTGGACACCATTTGATGCGAGAGCCAAAATGCCAACGCCAGAGTTTGTATAAAGAAGCCGAGCAACCTTTAGAATTGACATAACAGCAAAAAATTATTCCAAAATATATATTAATGAACAGAACAACAACTGATGAGAAGTTTCAGGCTGAGACTAAAACGAACCTTGCTTACAGAATCCTTGCTATCTGGCATGGTTACTTGTCGGCATTGAGTTGGATCGACAATTTCTGTGAGCTCCAACGGTTTAGACTTATCAACAGAGTCCAAATTTCTTGGCTTTTCCATAGTTCTTGACATTGCCTCAATTCCATTCTGCATACATCATAACACAACCAAAGTAAGAACACAAGAAACTTGTAATTAAAACAAATTATGAACTACACAAAAACAAAAACCATGATCCGTTCATTTAATCCAATATTCTAATTTTCCCATATCAATATGTTTAGTCAGGGAATCAGTCCATAAATTAAGGATTATTGATTGAAATAGGAGAGTATATATCAAAAAAAAGATCTACGAAATTCTTAATCATACAGGAATTGGGGTTGGCCTTGCAGGAGAGCCTGTGTCCATGTGTTCAATTTTACCAACAGCTGGGCTCATGTTTGTAACCATTGCGGAGGTGGATACCTGAATCACCGCCATTGACACTTGAGTTAAACTGGACAAAAGGTATGAGCAGTAAAAGATCTCAAGCATAGCGTAAAGAGGGCATTATTCCAACCTTCATCTCAATGGATGCTTTAGATGTCTCAAAAGACCGAGCTTCAAATGCTCTTAAGGTTCTCAGACCATCAGTATTTGCAAGGATCTTGAATCCGTTATCTGCTGTAGTAACTGCAAGAAGATTCCCTTCCTTGTTGAACCTCAATCGGGGTAGATTCTGATAAAAGTGGTACATACCATCAGTAAAGCAACAGGTTCGAGAATACAAAGAAATATATATACAGGGAGCCTAGAGGAATATTTTAAGCAAGAGTTTCATACCGGAAGTCCTCCTTCAGCCTCAACAGTTGTCAAAAGATTTGTACTGTCCATGTCCCAGAACTTTACTTGATTGTCTTCACCAACAGCCAAGAAACGGTTACGGGTTGTATCAAACTGAACAACTCCAGCGGATTTCTTCCTAAAGCCTAGATATGTCCTCTTTAGGGCCCCTTCGCTCTCATTCCACTCGACCAAAAATGAGTCTCCTTCTTTACTCGTCCCACAAGAAAATAATCTGAAATCAAAGCAAATGTTCACTTAATTTTGAGCTATACCAACCACTTAGAAGAATTTCAATTAATGGCAGAGACATAAAATTGTTATTCAACTCTAGCTCTTCGATAAGAATGTTGTACCTGCTTCCATCGGCACTGTATAGCATCGTTGTACACCACTGTCCTGGTGCGTCGTAATCAACACGAGAACCAACATTATCATAGAGCCAAGCCTTGATCTTACCATCAAGAGCAGTTGAGAAGATAAACTGCATCGCAAAAAGAGATGAATAAATTAGAAGAAAATGTAAGGAAAAGTCTTAGGAGTCTTGGCAACAAGAGATGCTTGTACCTGAATATTTTCCTTCTGGTGAGGGCAAATGGAATAAACCGGTGCCTCGTGGCCTTCAAAGGTGTAAAGCTTCTTCCCACTCAAATCCCAGACCTAATAAACCTCAGAATTAGACAAGGAAATACAAATCGGAATTTATTCACAATCCTCACATACCTTAATCAATTTGTCATCCCCACAAGTCACAACACACATTTGCTTGTTTGGGTGGGCGAACGCCAAGTCATTCACACAGCCTACATGAGCATCAATCTAATACATAGAAACAAAAGATTGATCAACTTTGGTGCAGATGCGACAAAGACAAGATACTACGTACAAAAGGATGTTTAAACATGCCTCGAGGTGTTGACGTAGGTCGGAGCCTTGGTAAGCGTATACATGGATCAAATGTTTAGTAAAGGAAACCCCTGTGCACAGAAAATGATACCCAAGTTCAAAACTTCGTGTCTAATTGAAACTACAACTCTATCTTGAGATGTTTTTTGTGTACCATACCAAGCAAATTTCCATCTGGGCTCCATGCTACACGAGTCACAGATATCGATGGGTCTTTCACAATAGAACCCTGTGAAGAAAATTGCATCACCACATAAAACATTAGTCATCGTGAAATTTTCAGCCGGATTAGCTAAGTGCTAAAGCAATGTTTCTAGGAAATTTATCTTATTGAAGAAAATAAAAACGATGGAAGAAGAAAGAGAAACCTGGAAGATCCCAGAGCAAGCTGCCATATTCCATATCTTGAAAGGCTCTGTGACAACCTTCTCTCTGGATCCAACTTCCCACAAGGTGACTTCACCACTTGAACAACCAACTACAAGTAATATACTCGTTAGAATAAGAAGCAAATAAAAGCTCAACTCTATTTATCTCTTCATGGTAGCAATATACTAACCAGCGAGCAACGTGAGATGAGCAGGGTGAAAATCCATGCTTATCACCACCGATCCTTGGCGCATTGTACTCACAACATTTCTAGGGAGGTCATCAAGTGACGCAGCGGAATGAGAGTGTGCAGGATATGTGACCTGTGACTTGAAAAGTGGAGTCAGATACTCAATAACAAAACACACAGTCCAAAACAACAAGAGTTTCTTTTGCTTAATAAGCATTTCAAAAACAAGGAAAACCCGGAAACAGTTACCTCGTTGGCAGTTTGTGCAGATCGTAAACGTTTCATGAGTTGCTCGTGATCAGCACTTTGATAATCCATCAATCCTAAAGAGTTTGACGGTGCCCGAGGGTGTTTCAGCACACCAACTGTTGTGACAAAATACAGCAAAAGAATTTCAGGTCCTACATTTTTATTTCCTAACATGTATAATATGAC